TAACTAACCCCTAGTGGGTACATTGTTCAGGGGTGCTGCAGACAAGAGTTATACAACATGTATTTACTGAGCACCTACTGTAGACCCAATCCTCCTGGGATTCATATGCTCTTCTAAACTGATAAAATCAATGGAACAAGACAGGTCATTATTTTTCATTAGTACAAGGGCCATCTTCCCAGAAGCCCCTACTCCTACTGCCTCAACTCCCATTTACAGAAAGAGTCAAAAGAATTGAGCAAGTGGGAAGTTTAATTGGTGTTCAGAAGAGCAAGTCCTTGGCCTACTGTTTCTAGTGGCAGCATTCTGCTTAAATCAGGCCCTGCACCTGTTAGCAAGACTGCATCTCTTGGTGAGGAGCAGTGATTGCATGATTCTCTACTTTCTTAGATTCTGAGGTTGGGATCACAATGTAAATTAGATATTCCTTCTCTTAATTTCTGTGTCAAATAGTTAATCATTAAGATTCTTTAGAAGTGTAGAATGTGCTGTTGAGATGAACATACTTCGGGCATCCCTAGGTTTCTAGGTTGCCCTTAGATATGAAGTGGGGAGACTCTATCCAGAGTAAGGATGGAAAAAGGAAACAGGCAGTTGGAGAGAACTGCCCATCCTAGGCACTCTTTTATATATATATATATATGTGTATTTTATTTATTTATTCATGAGAGACAAGGAAGAGAGGCAGAGGAAGAAGCAGGCTCCATGCAGGGAGCCCAATGTGGGACTCGATCCCGGGTCTCCAGGATCACACCCTGGGCTCAAGGTGGCACTAAACCGCTGAGCCACCTGGGCTGCCCCATCCTAGGTACTCTTACAGCTATCCTGACTGCTGGATAGCAAGCAGTTCAGAGGAAAAAGTAGTAAGAGAGGAGGGCTGGAGATAGGTAACAAGGGGATTTAAGCCTTTCTGTAAAAACAGCAGCTTCCAATCCCAGAAGCAGATGATGAATATCCAGCTATCTAACCCACAAAGGGCAAAGTCCCCTGCCCATCCAGGCGCGGTCTGATTGCTGAGATGAAGCATGCCTAGAGACGGAGTAAGCTCTTTCTAGGTTAACGTAATCAGATGTATATGGGACACCTGCCACTCACTGCAAAGCGCTTCACACAGCTAGCTGGCTACATTCATCCGTGTAATAAAGCAGAATCTGAAACAAATCCTCTTTACTCAGTTTCTCAGAGGCCTGTTGTAGAGAACATGACTTTAATTAGAGCCAGACTACACAGTGGTGGGGCTCAGCTATACTGTGGTTTGGTGCTGCAGGCAGAAGTTACTGTGTATCTTTCTAGGCAAGCAAAATGTAGATATCTGTTTAATATCAGATATCTCTCCAGGGAAAAAACACAATGTAGCTCAGAGAAATAATGCAAAAGTTTGAGTTAGTTTTTGGTTTGTGTCTTTTAAAAATAGAACATTCAGGTTTTTGTTTGTGAGCAGTGCCATAACCAGGATAATTACTTAGGCCTCACAATTACGCCTCAGGGTATTTAAGGGATGAAGAAACTGAGAGCTCAGAGAGGTTGAGTAACTTACTCAAGGTCACACAGTTACAAATGGAAGGGCTGGGATTCAAACTCAGCTAGTCTGATTTTTAAACGTTAAGTTTTCTTTTCTTTTTCTTAGGTCTGCATTTAAGAGCTCACTTTCTTAGCTTGTATGGCACACTGGAGAAGAACGTGGTGTTCTGAAGGCAGAGGTTGTAAGTCACCCTGTGTCTGTCTAGTAGCTGAAGGAGGGAATGGTCAGTCTGAGATTTGTCTTTGCATTTGGCCTTCAGGCCCTTCCAGTCAAGATGTTTCTTTTTCAAGGATCTTTCATTCGACTATAAGAGTGTTCACTACAGCATTGCTTTTAAGAGTAAAAAGTGGAGGCAGCCCGAGGGTGGCTCAGCGGTTTAGCGCCTGCCTTCCGCCCAGGGCATGATCCCGGAGACCCATGATAGAGTCCCACGTTGGGCTCCCTGCATGGAGCCTGTTTCTCCCTTTGCCTGTGTCTCTGCCTATCTCTGTCTCTATAAATAAATAAAATCTTAAAAAAAAAAAAAAAAAGTAAAAAGTGGGACACACTGGTCCCTAACATGCCCAACAGCTCCTGGGTGACCTGAGGCTCATGTCAGTTACCAGGGGAACTTGGAGGGTTACCATCATTGGGGGCAAGGAGATACAAATGTGAGAACCTCAAAACGGGGCAATTTATTTATAAATATCTAAAACAAACAAAAGAACCCCCAAAACCATGCTATGCAAGAACCAGTTTATTATGCAGACAACACAGCTCATGCTGTTTTCTAGCATTCAAGACAACTTATAAGGATTTCCATGGCAATGAAATATATTTTACCGGAAATGAAGTCTATTTTCTCAAGTTCCCAAATGTAAATGGCTCTTTATACAAAGTAATAGCTGTACTGTCTTTTTCTTGGATGACTGGGAGATCAATTTTATCTTGGGATACTCTGCCTTGAGTTTACTGAAGTTCTGTACCATAAGGTTTTGTGGAATTGGGAACCTAAATGATCTCATTTCTATTTCAATGCAGATTGTTGGACCTTCAGATGGAAGTAGTTATAGATTCTTATGGAACCAGGCTTACAAGACTATTACTAATAAAACATAGGAAAATAGTTACAACCATAAACATTTTTGAAAAGAAACAGACTAAGCCTCCTTGATTTAAATAGAGAACTCCCAGGATGTGGATTTCCAGACTTTGCTTTTTTCTTCTTTGCATACCATTTTACGGGTTCTATGTGATTTAAAAAAATTTTTATTTTGTTTTAATTAAATTTTTTTAAAATTTTTATTTATTTATGACAGTCACACACAGAGAGAGAGGCAGAGACACAGGCAGAGGGAGAAGCAGGCTCCATGCACCGGGAGCCCGACGTGGGATTCGATCCTAGGTCTCCAGGATCGCGCCTTGGGCCAAAGGCAGGCGCCAAAACGCTGTGCCACCCAGGGATCCCCTATTTTGTTTTAATTAAAAGTATATATTCTGAGATTTATTTAATAGGACTTTAAGAAAAAAAAAGTAAAAGGTATATGGGGTTGCCTGGGTGACTCAGTTAAGCATCTGTCTTTGGCTCAGGTCATGATCCTGGGGTCCTGGAATCGAGCCCCACGTGGGGCCTCCTTGCTAAGCAGGGAGCCTGCTTCTCCCTCTGCCCCTCCTCTCCTACTTGTGCTCTATCTCAAATAAATAAATAAAATCTTTTAAAAAAAAAATAAAAGCAACCTAGATCAAAAACATACTGGAAAAACAAATTATGGTACAAACACACAACGTAGTAATAGGCAGCTATAACAAAGAAAGAGGAAGTTCCTCATGTTCTGATATGGAACTATCACCAAGATATAGCTGAAAAAAATCAAGGTACAGAATAGTGTACAGTCTGTCACAATTCATGCAAAAGGGAAAAGACTGTATTATTGCATGTACAGTCAGAGAAGATCTCTGGAAGGATACCCAAAGAACTGGTAACATTCATCACCACTGTGCAGGGAAGTGGTCACTGGGGAACAAAGGTGACAGGCTTTTCATTTTCAGTCCTTTTGTACTCTCTGACTTTAAAGCAAGTGGCCATATTATCTATTCAAAAAATGTATAACAAAACCAAACCAAAATATACAGGGGTGTCTGGGTGGCTCAGTTGGTTAAGCATCTGATTCTGATTCTGGATTTCGACTCAGGTCATGATCTCAGGGTCCTGAGACGGAGCCCTGTGTCAGGCTCCATGCTCAGTGAGGAGTCTGCTTGAGGATTCTGTCTCTCTCTGCCCCTCCTTCCCACTCATACTTTCTCTCTCTTTCCCCTTCCAAAATAAATAAATAAATCTTTAAAAAAAAAAAACCAACCCAACAGAATATACAAAAATTTATATATGCACAATCATATATACAAAATACATATACAGGGGAAATTCAGTATTACATCAAGATGGTAATAATCTTTTCCTTTTCTCTACTTCTCCAGGATTTTTATGATGTGGTAAGAATATTTTTCAAGTTCTACGTGTATGTTTAACTTACTTCCTTCATGACTGCACCAGTGTTCCAATCACTAATCAAGTTCAGAAAGATGAAAATGAAGACTAGGACTCTGGATTCCCAATATTCTCCGAATACTCAATAAAGGAAGAAATCTACAGTCCCTAAAAAGTTGGTGCATCAATAGTTCCCAATCCTTAATGAAGACACAGGGCATATAAATAAAGAACTACAACATATGGTTCTCCAGGTAGACAGTAAAAAGGGAGAGGAAAACATCTTTCTATCGGGAAGCAAATTGCTGAATGATAAAATGTGCTAACAATTTCATAATCCTACTAGAGAGAGCCCCCCTTTTCAAATGACTACTCTTCAGCTTCCTGGCTCTTTCCTCATTCTCCTCACTGGTAACCAAGGAGACCACAGGTTTTCCTAAGCTTCTATCTCCCAAACGTCAAACTAGTTATCTTTCTGTTTAAAAAGGGAGGCAGCAAAAGAGAAATGACTTTCAATTTAAAAATAAATAAATAAGGTAACACCATGTTCTTATAAAACCATTGCTCTTGTTTTTCTGACACTGGGTAAAAGAGATGTAGGGGCACATGGCTGCCTCAGTGAAGCATGTGACTCGTAAACTCAGGGTCGTAAGTTTGAACCCCACGGTGGGGGAAGAGTTTACTAAATAAATAAATTGGAAACAACTTCCGAACCCCAGCTGAAAGAAGGATGTCAATCCACCCTCGCAACCCTTTTCCCCCTGCCCTGAAACCAGGTAAGCAGGGACCTATCACTGGAATGAAAAGGAAAAAAACAGCCAGGGCCTTAATACAAGAGCATCTGCTATGGCCATGATCTTGGCTTGGTTTTTATGCTGACATTCACTTGAGTCTATCATCTGATACAGTCACTTTCTTGGTTGGAATTTATGAGCTGCCAGTGTTTACTTGTGAGACTGTGTGGGAGCTGGAAGGGAAGAAGATAAATACACCAAAGCCCAGCTGAGCAACTGATATGCTTTACATTTTATTTCCAGGAAATGACATCTTGTTTTCACAAAGAGGTAGGCCATCCTCTCCAAAAGAGGCTGCCTTAACTTCTAGGGGCAGCCACAGCGGTACACCCAACCCATCCAAAACAAATGTCAATAGAGGTGCTTCTGAGGTACCAAAACGATAAAACAATAAACTTAAAAAGCAAAACAGAAATACATAACCCATTCAACACACAGTGAAGCAGAGTCTATCAAGTACCCTGAAGCAGTCCGCACGGCGAGGACCGGTGGCACCTCAGACAATGGTGGCAGCTCCGCTGGCCAACATGGAGGCTCATGAGGACTTCCTAACTCAGTCTCTGTCCCGGGTGGTTCCATCCCATGCTCTATCTCAGAGCGGCCCAAGACCTGGCCACAGGGAATTCTCCAGACTATCTCAAGCTCCTGTTGCCTGGCAGTCCCTCAAATGTCCCTGGAGCATGGTCTTCATGACAGTCTCTTTGCTTTGAAGAGAAAGAAAGAGAATTAAAGGAGGAGCCTGCATCTCCCTGGCCTGGCCTCCCTGTTGCCACCCTCCATCTCTTCCCCACACAGTGAACCAAGAAAACGGACATCAGATCACACTGCTCTGTTCAGAGCCTGCTCCTCATTTCTCCCAGAGTAAGCATTCAAGGCCCACTCCTACCAAAGGCCCAGGAGGTTCTACACAATCTGTGCTGCCCACTCCCTGCATGGCGCACTCCACTCCTGTCACATTGGCTGCCTCGCTGCCCCTCCAACTCCCCAAGTGTGTCCCCTCTTGCTGTGACACTCTTCCCCACAAGGCAACATGGCCACTGCCTTCAGGGCTTTACTCCAGTACTGCCTTCTCTCTGCTGCCTTCGACTACCTTATCAAAGAATGGCAAAGATCACTCCCTGATTCCTTGCTTTGTTTCTTCTCCATAGCACTAATTACATCTAACTTATTAGATTTTCACTTCTCTTTCTATTCCTGGGACCTAGAGCAGTGCGTGGCACAAAGCTGGCCCTCAATGAACATGTGTTGAAGAATGAAAGAATTATATACACAGCACTAGGCAGAGAGAGGTGAAGGGAGGAGATGGGAGGGACAATTTATTGCTATTAACTGTTTCTGCTTCCTCAATTTGGGGAAGCAGGGATCCTGGCCTAAGGACACAATAAGGTACCAAGGAGGCTGTCCCCTTCCCTGAGACTGAGGTCCTGAATGCTTGGTAGTAAGACCAAAAGGATTATAAAAGTTACTTTTCTCCACTTATGAGCAGCCTTGGGAGAGCTGACAGTGAGAGAGCCAAGCGAAGCTCCCTCCCTCACAGCTCACTGGCCTTACCTAGTAGCTCACAGAAAAACACAGAAGCCACAAGAAAGAAATTCTCTTGACTCCCCTCAAGCAAATCTCCTTGCTTACCCTCTCACATTAAAGGCTCTTTCTAGGAAACAGGATCTACCCTCCAACTTTTAAAGACTAATTACCTCATCTATGCTCTGCATTCTTTGCCCTGCCCTGCTTTCCAAAGAATCTGGCCCTACTCACCATCTCAACTTCCCAGCATCTCCTTCTCGACAGGCTCAGCAACTGAACACACTCAGATCTCTCATGTCTTTAAAAAACAAAACAAAGGGACACCTAGGTGGCTCAATGAGTTGCATGTCTGGCTTTGGCCCAGGTCATGATCTCAGGGTCTTGGGATCAAGCCCCGTGTTGGGCTTCCTGTTCAGTGGGGAGCCTCCTTCTCCCTCTCCCTGTTTCTTTCTGCTTGTGCTTTCTCTGACAAATAAATAAAATCTTAAAAAAAAAAAAAAAGCGCTCTTACCCACCTCCTCCTCCAACTACAATCGTCACTGCCAATTTCTTGAGGACCTTGTCTCACTTTACTTCCTAACTTCACATTCTCCAATTCACTACAAATTAGCTTCTAACCCCACCAGTCCCCCAAACTTGTCCTAGATAAAGTCATCAATGCTCCACACTCCTGCTACATCCAAAGGGCAATTTTTCACCCTTATGCCCTGCTTACTTTTATCCCCAGCACCTGGTACTTAGTAGGAACTGAGAAGGAAAGGCTCAAATGAAAGAAAGCAAGGAAGAGATGTTTCTTTGGGGTTGGTTCTGGTTCAGGTTTCATGGGAGGGTAAAAGAGGTCCAAACTCTCCAGGGTAGGAAAGCAGAAAGCAATTCAAGCAGAAGCCTTAGCCAGAATAGGAGCATGTCTGGTCTCATAGATTTCTTAAAAACACAATAGTAAACAGTTGGACAGATATATATCCAGCTGGTGCAGGGAAGTCTCAACAGTGATGTACCTAATTCTATGATATGCTATGGGGGAGGGAGGAAGAGGCATAATCAGTGACCCCAGCCATCCTCCAAGATTAGTTCATGGAGATCTAAAAATGCTCAATGTTCCCCTAGAGTTAAGTGTAGGAAAACTCTCAAGGAAAATCTGCATTGGTTAATGACACTACTCTGTATTTATACAAGTGGTCTTCTATAATAGGAAGTTCCTGAAAACATGTCTATAAAATAAATTATAAAGTTACATGCTTGGGGGGAGGGAGAATTTATTTTTTAGGGAATGAAAATAACTCTATTTTATCATTAAGGAGACAAAAGGGGTGCCTGGGTGGCTCAGTCAGTTAATTATCAGACTCTTGATTTCAGCTCAGGTCGTGATCCCAGGGGGTCCTGAGACTGAGCCCCACCCACATCATGCTCCACACTCAGCATGGAGTTGGCTTGGGTTTCTCTCCTTTTGCACCCCCCCCCCCCCGGCTTGCACTGGCACACTCTAAAACAGATAAATGAAATCTTTAGGGAAAAAAAAAAGGGGGGGGAAGCCTAAAGGACAAGAGTCAGCAAGAAATCCGAGGTTCGGGATCCCTGGGTGGCGCAGCGGTTTAGCGCCTGCCTTTGGCCCAGGGCGCGATCCTGGAGACCCGGGATCGAATCCCACATTGGGCTCCCGGTCCATGGAGCCTGCTTCTCCCTCTGCCTATGTCTCTGCCTCTCTCTCTCTCTCTCTGTGTGTGACTATCATAAATAAATAAAAATTAAAAAAAAGAGAAGAAATCCGAGGTTCTGGGGCTTCATGGGGTGCTAATCCACATATTACAATTAATCCCACAGCTGACTTCTATGATCACAGTCCCTCCTCCCACCAAGTGGACAGTTCCTGTGCTGCCCTTGTCATTTCCAACTATGCATTCTGAGATGCAGGTTAAGGGTGATGGGGGAGACACCTACCAAAGGGCAAGAAAAGGAAGGACAACAGACCAAAGAAGAGAAGGAAAGGAAAAATAAGGGGAGGTGGTGATGGAGAAATAAGAAAACAGCTTCTAGTAACAAGTCTACTAATTTTCTATCCCATGACAACTTTGCAAAGGAATTTTTAAAAGTCAAAAATTTTAAAGAGTTCAGTGTTACATGCTATTTGAGTGCATGCCAACCTTGCTGAGGGCCATTTTCCCCTGGATGAACTGTCCCATGCTGGGCGGGCAATCTAACTTCATGTGCATGACCCTTCAGATTCTCTAGGGGCAGGACTGGGTAACCCACCTGCTAACAAGTAACTCTCTCTAGATGAGGTCAGCTTGCCAGACACTGTTACAGCTGCCATTCCCACATATTCCTTTACAAGGCTTCATCTTTTCAGCAAGGAGGGATGGGCAATATCAAGGAAAGCCTTCCAGTTGGGCAGGCAGATACTCTCTTCTTAAGTGACTGACAATTTCTCCTGTCCTGTGTCTGGATCACACTCCTCATAGCCTACAGGAAACTGGCAAGAGGCACAGGCCCTGGAGTCTGACCTAAGTCTATCTTCCTATAGACCCTGAGCCTCTGGAGGGGCCTCTGTGTCACAGATTCATGGAAAGCTGTGTCTCATAAACCTTCCTCCCAACCTTGGCATACTTGAAGGCCACAGCACTCTCCCACGAGTAGCCTTGGTTTGATGTAACAGTAATCAAGGGAGCTGGGGATTGTAGTTTGAAAAAGACCCTAGACTGAAAATCACTATTCTAAAGGACCAACAAGATTTTATTTTTAGATAATTTGCTTTCTTCTTTTCTGAACACAACCCAAAGAAACTGCTAGGGAAAGCTAAAAGTGAGAATGTTAACACTCTGTCAACCACCCAACATTTAACGAGAACAGAACGGAAGAGGGGGAGTAGCTGACAGAAGACTGCTCTAGTACCTCAGCAGCTCCAGAGGGAGATCCTCTATAGAGAATGTCAGAAAATGTCTTCCCCTCAAAAAATCTAATGTCAATATCCTAGAGAGCCACAATTATTCATGTGACAAGCACTTACTAGATGTTTCTTATCTGCCCCAGCGCCAGAGCATCATTTCTTTAACACAGGATCTAGTATGTGAGCATTCTTCTCCTCTCCTCTGTAAAATCTGGCCTCACAGGGTTTACAAGGGATCAGTGGCTCATCAGTCTCGAGGCTTCACTCCTCCCACAGGAATACAGAACTAGAAGACGTTGTTGTCTCCTCTCTCTCCAGCCAGGGAGGCCTGGAGTGGGGCTGCTCTTGGTGGAATCAGCACCACAGACAGGCAGGTCTCCCTCCCTGAATGTGTGATAAGAGCAACTCCTGTCCAGGAGGAAAACAGCCCTGCCACAGCATCCAAACTCTGACAATTATAGGCCTGCCAATCCTGGTTCCCAGACCCTAAGTTTGGTCCTTTTTAAAATTCCCATGCCCTGGGGATTAAAGTAGCTTTCAACTGGCAAGGAAGGTTGGTATTTGAACTGAGAATTTTCTCTAAACCCCACACTGCAGACCAGTGAAGCTGCTTGCTGATGGCTCTGGCACATGTTTCCCTAAATGAGGACTCAGAATCTCTGTCTCTGGAGAACACCCCAGAGCTGAACTTGCTGTGATAACCACGGAAACAGAGGCCAGTGCCAGCACCCCTCCAGGCCAGGGAGTTCAGCACACAGGCTCCAAAGGTTACCAAAAAAGGCAGAGAGGCACCCTCTTTAGCCTTTGGAGGGAAAAATGGGGTCTGATGTTATTTACTCTGCAGAATTAACTCTGTGTGAGGGGAGCCGAAGGTGAACTTAGGACACGGGTCTGCTTCCTTTTCCAGTGCTGCACAAAGCCATTTACCATGCTTGCACACAGGAGAAGAAACCCAGTCAGTGGGCTGGGTGAAGAAAGTACATGGGTGTCCAAAGGAGACAGAGACCCAGCACACTCCAGCTCAAACGGTGGCCTTGGTTAAATCGGGCCCCAAGTCACTGCTCCTCTCAGAAGGCATTCATGACACCTCAGCTAACAATTCCTAAGCTGTGGCTATCTTCACGCTGCTCTGGCACCACGCAGACATTTTGTCATGTATGGGTCACTGCTATGAACACATCACTGCTTCTCATGTCTCTGTGCTTTGTTTGTGCTGAAGCCTCTAGTTGGAAAGCTCCACCCCTGGGAACCTTTAAGACTCAGTTTGAATGACGCTTCTTCCATGAAGCTTCCTACCTACCGTACCTCTGCCTGCCCAGGCCAAACTGACTGTCTGCTCTTCTACAGTGTCCTAGGATCCTGGTGTGGAACTTGTCACATTATCTACTTGCCTTTTTCCCTTCTCCACAGACTGAGAGCTGTGGGAGTTGAAATAATGCCTTATGTATCTCTTCATCCCTGTGTGGAGCATTTCTATAAATGCTGATGGAGTGAGAAGTGAGAGGAAGAACAATGGGACTCTGCCAGAATCAAGGGACTCCTGAGAGGTAAAAGATCTGGGAGGGTTCAAACTGGCCACAAAATCTATAAGCAACAGCTGTCAGAAAAGTGAAAAACATTTTGGTAGAACAGGTTCAAGCACACTTCCTGCTTAGCACCTGTTTCCCCTGGCTCTGCAACAGGGTTGCTACTTCTGCTCTGGCTGACTAGCCAAGGGCCAGTTTCACACTACAGCGCTTGCACATTAGCATCACATTCCTCGTCCCAAAGTAGCTGACATCCATAAAGGGCTAGGAAGCAGTGGACAGAAGATCTACTACTAGCAGTGTGGCTTTTAGGCCTTCAGTTTCTCTAGACTTAGAGAAAGGTACATTCAAAGCCACATACAAATATGGGTTACCAATGGTCAGGCAATGGGAAGCACCTGTAAGGGCAGTGAGCTTCTGGGCTGAACATCTTCTCTGTTCGGCATTTATGTGTAGCCAACTGACATCAGAGCACTTTGGCTCTGATGCTTTCCCAGGAGGTAGTGCTGTACTCAACTATTTGGGACTGAGCTTTATAATCAGATCTTCCCTGCTTCTGTGCATTCTCATCCCTGGCTAATAACCAATCCTTTCTCCTAGCCATTAGTTTATTTGTGCCTTGCCCCAGGACACATCTTTTGCCACAAGGACATTCAAGTCTGGGGGCAGGGAGGTGGGGGGGGGTGGCTCTGCAACCCTCTACACAGCAAGATCTAAGGGTGATGAGATCACTTGGTTGAATAAGTGGATATTCACCATAGAAACATGATTCATTAGGGGAATTCACCCACACATTCCCCAATCTCTTCATCCAAATTCTCCTCAACCAGCAGACTAATTGGTAAACATATCAGGATCCCCAAAGATTAGATTTAGCTCTCTCCTTTAACATTATGTCCAATTTGTGTAATTAAGCTATGACTTCCTATAAAACTTTTATACGTGTTCTCATCAAGTATTCTCCAATTTGTCAATCTCTGACTTGTTCATCTCTTATTGAGAACTGATTGTGTACCCAGCCCAAGGTTTTTGCCAACACCTGGAGAGCAACTAAACTGTTTTGCACAACAGCACCATCTAGTGGTCAGTCTAACAAACTGTGTGATCTTGTGTTTTCTACCCACATCCATACCCAAGGTACATACACACTGAAGTCTCTCCCTTCCCTGCATGTTCAAATACGCAAGTCCATTCTCTCTCAATTCTTTCTCACATGTTCATTACCTTTAACTCTCTTTACTTTTCCCCCATTTCTTACTCCTCTTCTTTAGCTTAAGAATCATTCATCTGACTCCTCCCCAACGAAAAAAAATCTTAAGTTTGTCAGTCTTAAATACCCACCATTTGCTTCAACGTGGATGGAACTGGAGGGTATTATGCTGAGTGAAGTAAGTCAATCGGAGAAGGACAAACAGTGTATGTTCTCATTCATTTGGGGAATATGAATAATAGTGAAAGGGAATATAAGGGAAGGGAGAAGAAATGTGTGAGAAATATCAGAAAGGGAGACAGAACATAAAGATTCCTAACTCTGGGAAACGAACTAGGGGTGGTGGAAGGGGAGGAGGGAGGGGGGTGGGGGTGAATGGGTGACGGGCACTGAGGGGGACACTTGACGGGATGAGCACTGGGTGTTATTCTGTATGTTGGTAAATTGAACACCAATAAAAATTAATTTATTAAAATAAATGATAGATAGATAGATAGATAGATAGATAGATAGATAGATAGATAGATAGATAGAAGAAAAAAAAAAGTTTGTTAATCTTCTGTTGAGGGGACTCTCCTTGTTCATACCCACTCACCTTTTCGTTCCCTAATGAGGACAATTCGTCGGTCTTTCACTTCTGAGCTCAGATTATCTACCATCTTATTAATGCAATTGTCCAGAACCAGGGAGTGGGTTTTGGACTTGATATCCTTCCGACAAATGGGGCATTCTACCTTCCGCTTCATCCATTCATTGATACAGTAGGAGCAGAAACTGTGGGCACAGTTCAAGGTGACAGCCTACAATGGGAATGTGAACACACATATCAGAACCATCATACTTACTTTCCCAGCACAGTTGTGATCTCAAAGCTAGGACAGGAGTTCACTGCCAAGGCCAAATGGAAATTTAACTCTAATCCCATCTAGAAAGCTTACAGATGGTATTAGAATTGTTCTTGGGGATAGGAAATTTTAAGTTAGATGATTCATTTTCTTTCTCAAAGGTAAGTTCATAGATGTAGGCTGATTTGTCTGTCTTGTTCCACCAACTCAGAGGACACTGCCAATGCCAGATTAGCTACCTTGCAAACAAATGTCACTGGACACAAGTATGATTTGTAAGTGTGTGAATGTTTGGTACAAATACATTACCAATTTTTTCATGGAAAATAAATGTATAGCCTGCTAATGATGAACCAGAACTTCAATTTTAATAGACGCTGGGGAGCACATTCTGAATATTCAGTATATAGAATGGTAGAAAGCATCATCCGTACTCAAAGAAACTTAAAAAGTAAAATACATGTTAAAAGACAACTAAAAAGGCTGGGAAAAAAGAAACTGAAAAAATGGAAAAAATGTAATGGGTTCACTGACAGTGACTGAATCAAGTAAATACACTTGTGAGAAGAGGGAAAGCGGAAGGGAGTCTAAATCTGAGTAACTCCTCTAAGTAACTCCAATGGTCAGATTTCTGCCAGGGTCCTTTCCACTTTTCTTTTTAACAAGATCCTTTTCTTTTTTAATATTTTATTTATTTACTTGAGAGTGAGTGAGTGAGAGGGAGGGAAGGAGAAGAAGAGAGAATCTGAAGCAGACTCTGTGCCCAGCACAGGGCTTGATCCCATGATCTTAAGAGCATGACTTGAGCCAGAACAAGAGTCGGACATTTAACCAACTGAGCCACCCAGGCATCCTGCCCTATCTGCTTCTAAAAATATAAAAACCATGCTCTTTATTACTCTTGTTTATGTACATCTCCTAAAATACAAGTTTTTCTGAGGCTCAAAAGTCTTCATTCCTGCTTTTAAGGATAGCAGTGGAAAATAACAGAAATTATACATTTTTCAAATGCCAAGTTGAGCACAGAAAGTCAACTAGGAGTTATTTTGTTAACTATGTGAGATAAATCCTCACAAACGTGACTAAAAACCTGATTAAAATAAAACTTCTTTCCAATACTGACTTTACAAGGTGATCATAGAAAAGGTCAGACAGTCTGCTGTAAACAAAGCATGGGTCAGGTTGTCTCTTCTACATCGGTAGAGATGCTCTGGGTGGGCTAACTGATCACCCTTCTGAACCCCCTTCCCTGGCCTTCCTCCAGCAGAGCCCTGTCAAAGCCAGACTGAGTTTCTCCAAAGTAGGGAATTAAATAACTAGAAACAATGGGGGAAATGATGTCAATTTGGATCCACAGCAAAAGAAACAGATCTGCCCAGGAGGGATTTCTCGGGAGGCTAATACACTCAACCTCCCTAGAGACTACCAGAAAGGAGGACAGAGTGCGTGCATGCATTTTCCTTTTTAAAGAAGTCTGAAAAGCACTGTCATTTAACTTGAGTTTCAGATGAATGGCATATGATGAACTGGTCACAAATGGTAGAATTTGTGAAAAATAAAGTCCTAAGCAAAAATATGACATGATGACAAATGGTAACCTAGGAGATGTTTTGTTTTCATAGGGAGCCTCAGAGTCCCTGAAATATGTTCCACCTGGCTGCTGAAGTCCCAAAGTGACCACACATCAGTGACATTTACCACCCCGTCACAGGCTGCACGAGCTGCCTACTCTCAGCACTGTGTCCATTCAGAGTAAAGAAAGAAAAGCTTTATAGAGTAGCTTTACACCGATACTTCAAAAATCTAATACCATGTGGCCCTGTTTTCTCCCAACACCAAAGAAATACAGGCTTTACTGCAGCTAAAAATAGTGATTGTACCAAATAAACACTCAACATCACGCAAAATGAGAAAAAGGTCAGTGAAGGTGAAGAAAACTACAAAAACAAATGAGATATGGCCATCTCTCAAGGTCACTTTGAAGTCAAGTAACTACAATAGATTCCTAGAATAAAAATCGCTTCAGAATGTTTCCCTAGGGCAGAACCTGTGTAGCTGAGGCTCCGTGCAGGGTAGAGAGAACAAAAAGGCATGAGCCACTGCTTATAATTACCTCAATGAAGTATTCTGAGCAAATAATACACTGGAGCTCATTCTCTAGCACATCATTCACGTGGCTAAGGACTTCCTCCTTCTGGGCTTGCATCTTCTCCTTCTCTTCCTGAAAAGACACACAACCCCACCTGTCATTTGGGGGAACTGACGAGAATGCAAAACAGGACAGGGAGCAATTGTTTAGAATAATATTCAGGACTCTAAATAAAAAATTCAACCTGGAACAACAACATGATACTAAAACTCTTTCCCTAAGGGTTATGGCTTCTCAGAATTGCTTTCTGATACAGGGCACTGTCTTCCTTTCTTTCCTCTCTCCACTTCTTCTGCATTTGCACCGCAGGTTCTGTCTCCTTTCCCAGAACCAAATGAGAAAAACTGAAGGGAGCATACTCAGCACACCAACCACCCAAGACCAGAATGAGGCTTTACGTATCCTGTAACCAATGGCAGTTTAGAGGTGATATAAAATCATCCCAAGCAACCAAGAACTCACTGGACATGAAAGCAGACATGAAAAACACTCCATAGAGGCAGGAAGCCTGAATTAATTTATAAGGCCCCCTGTATTCCTTGCAGCTGCCTCTTCTACAAAATAAGGATGTTATTTATACTCCCTGGAGGCAGGGGGCTGATGAGAGAGGGCCTCTTCCAGGCCCTTTGGGATCTAAGCTGTATGATGCTTGCCACCTCCTCCTCCTGTAGGTCTGCAGTCCAATTTCCCTTTCCTTTCCCCAAGAGGTCAGACCACTTGTGGACACATTTTTGGGGGTGGGGATGCTAGGTGTTTTCTCTTGCTTCTAATTTAGCACCTCATCCCCAGACCAAAAGTGTCAGAAGCCCCTGAAGGGAAAGGAAAGGCTATTTAGGATATATCTGAGGGGCTGATTAATTTTTCATCTTTTTTTGTCTCTTCTAATCAAAGTAAAGACTGTACACTGCTTTGGGCAGCAAAGAGGTCTGGACCCATTTTAACTAAAGTCAAGTTCCCTGAAAACTTAAAAATTGCTAGGTTTAAAAAGATGTGGTGGTTTTCTGGGAATTAAGAAAGAAGGTACTATGTGATTTAAACAAAAGATAAAGATCTCAAACCAAATGAAAGTTGAATCTCCTTTCTGTATTCTGCTCCAGGCCTGTCTGTAGGGAAGGGTAGGCTGAGAGATGTAGTCAGCCTCAGGTACTGGTTTCAGGTCGGAGGTTCCAAACTGATGGCCTGTGGACTGCATGTGGCTGGCAGATTTGTTTAGTTTGGTCCTGATGGTATTTAAAAAAACAAAACAAAAACAAAAACAAAAAACCACAATCCCTTGAATTTGTTGCTAATATTTGAAAACTGAAATAGTTCACATAAACATTTGGATTTCCAACTTCCGTGGAAAAGTCAGAAGATCTGACAACAGTGGGCCTGCATTTCTGGATGGCAACAGCTGGCTCCAGGAAAGAAGAGTTGCCTCTTGGTGGTGGGAGCAGGAAAGGGGGCAGACAGCGCCCCTTGCTAGTGTGCCTCTGTCTTCACAGCTCCCTACTCCGATCTTGTACCCAGGTCACTTCACTCACTTCTACTACCAGTCTACCCTGGTGGGCACCTAAGTCTATAACTCCCAATTTAAGCATTCCAGTGATTTGATGTGGGGAATATTACCCACATGCATCAGAACGAACGGTTTTTTGACTGTATCACTCCTTAGCCCGTGTCAGTGAAACACTCTGAAGGAATATCTACCACAACCAAAGGACCAGACTGCAGGGTGAGAGTCTCATTCCCAACACTTCACTTCTAAATGAAGGAAAGAAAAGAATGTTGTCTTAGAGGCAGACCCTTCAATAGGCCTGAATAATTTTACAGATTATTTCCCCTGAGGCAGGGAACCACCATAATCTCTCTCTTCATTCACCATAGCAACCCTTGCACTGTTGAAAATGCTGAGTTGCATGTACTAACCAAATTCTAAACCTTCATCTTCTTTCTAGTACCTTGGTCTGTTCCAATTCTTTGTTCTTGGCTTGAATGATTGCTTCAAAGTCCTTCTTGCTGCGATTTAGCTCTTCCATTAGAGCCCGATGCTGCAGAAACACAGCAGATACATATTCAAGATAAGCTTATACTGCATCTTTCCTTTTAGCCACACACTAGCTGCTCCCTCCATCAGTGGCTTTGGTTCAAGGAATCAATGGATTGGCATTTCAAGAATGCCTTTGTTCCTTCAGAACACTTACCTGCTGTTTTTTTTTTTTTTTTCAGGGAAGGGGGCAGCTAAAAAGGGAGGTCATCAAATCCACTAATCCCTCTGGAAATAACCCAACCTCAAAGGCCATCCAAATCAACTGAAGAATTTACATTGCCTTCCAGAGAGTCTGATTCTGTAGGTTTGGCTGGGGGCCCAGGAATGTGGATTTTTAAAAAGCCACTCTCAAGTGATTCTGGGAACCAATGCTCAAGAGCTGGTAAGTAAATCTGAGGCTACCCAGTACTGGGCATGGCTTTTAAGAAATAATCAGGGAGGGGATCCCTGGGTGGCTCAGCGGTTTTGCGCCTGCCTTTGGCCCAGGGCGCGATCCTGGAGTCCCGGGATCGAGTCCCGCGTCGGGCTCCGGGCATGGAGCCTGCTTCTTCCTCTGCCTGTGCCTCTGCCTCTCTCTCTCTCTGTGTGTCTATCATAAATAAATAAAAATAAATCTTTAAAAAAAAAAAAAAGAAAGAATCAGGGAGAAATGAGATTTCTAGATAATCATTTTCGTTGAAATAAAAAAGACCTTCAACCTATTTATTCTATAAATCACATACTACGTGCTTGTAAGGCAGTGCTGCCTGAACCCTACCTATGTCTTCTGGAAGTAGACACACCCAAGAGCTAACAGCTCAATCATTGTGACTAACTGCCTACACTGAATGTCAAGAGATTCTACTTCTAGAAAAATTTCTGAGCACCCTTGTTTTAAGTATAGCTTACACTTTCTCACCTCAAATCCTTTCTTAAAGAAGGTGGAGTAAAGGTAAGTATTTCTCAAAAGATATTACTCAAGAAAACGAATTTTAAAATGTGGGTCTTTAAAAATTAAAAAAAAAAAAAAAAAAAAAAAAAAAAAAAAAGGGATCCCTGGGTGGCGCAGCGGTTTGGCGCCTGCCTTTGGCCCAGGGCGCGATCCTGGAGACCCGGGATCGAATCCCACGTCGGGCTCCCGGTGCATGGAGCCTGCTTCTCCCTCAGCCTGTGTCTCTGCCTCTCTCTCTCTCTCTGTGTGACTATCATAAATAAATAAAAATTAAAAAATAAATAAATAAATAAATAAATAAAATGTGGGTCTCAGGCAGCCGGGGGGGGGGGGGGGGGGGGGAGGGCTCAGCGGTTTAGCGCCACCTTCAGCCGGGGCGTGATCCTGGAGTCTGGGGATCGAGTCCCACATCGGGCTCCCTGCATGGAGCCTGCTTCTCCCTCTGCCTGTCTCTCTGCCTCTCTCCCTCTCTCTCTCTCCCTGTATCTCTCATGAATAAATAAATAAAATCTTTTAAAAATAAAAAATAATAAATCATTGGGCAGCCCTGGTGGCGCAGCAGTTTGGCACGCGTGCAGCCTGGGGTGTGATCCTGGAGACCTGGGATCAAGTCCCACATCGGGCTCCCTGCATGAAGCCTGCTTCTCCGTCTCCCTGTGTCTATGAATAAAGAAATAAAAATCTTAAAAAATAAATAAATAAATAAAATAAAATGTGGGTCTCCCCCCAAAAAAGCAGCTATATCAGAAGGCATTCATCTTGACTACTGATTAGATGTATGTGCCTAGCTTTTTTTTTTTTTTAAAGATTTTATTTATTTATTCATTAGAGACAGAGAGAGGGGGGGGAGAGGGAGAGGGAGGGAGGGAGGGAGAGAGAGAGAGAGAGAGAGAGAGAGAGAGAGAGAGGCAGAGAGACAGGCAGAGGGAGAAGCAGGCTCCACACAGGGAGCCCGATGTGGGACTCAATCCCGGGACTCCAGGATCCCGCCTTGGGCTGAAGGCAGGCGCTAAACCGCTAGGCCACCCAGGGATCCCTGTATGTGCCTAGCTTACTCATCTATAAAAATGGGAAAACAGGTGCCCCTCCTACATCAGTGTTAAGAAAATGAAATAACAGATATGAAAGCATCTGGAAAAGTTTTTAAAGCTTTATGTAAATGCAAGTTTTTGTAATTGCCTAGAAAATAAAAAAGAATTGCTACAGAGGGAACAACAGAGTGGACCGAAAAACCACCATTGTTTCGGTTGAGAGAGTGATTATGTCCCCTAGGCATGTTATTATAACCATGACCTAAAAGTATCACATTTTTAGACTAAAGAACAGAGACTGGCCAAGTACCTCATGCTAAATGTTTTCCTGCCTCTCAGAGGTGGGTTAAGGGGCTGTGGGTACAAGGTACTCTGTGATCCCCAGGGATTTCCAAGTAGCAGAATCTTACTCTTTTCCAGTCAATTTCAAAACAGTATCTCAATACAATTTAATAATGCTCTAAACAAGGATTATGCCTAGCTTCCCACCCTAGAAAATAAACAAGCTTAGAAAATAAAATTCCAAAAAGATTGAATTAATTTTCACCCAATTCTTTTCAAGGCTATTTGTGTACCCCTTAGGGAAATCAAAGCAGGCATCCCCTCTCTGAGCTTACAATAATACGGGGCTGTTAGCACTCTGAGAAGGTTGGGAGGTAGATATGCAATAAAAGAACAGAAGGATAAATTCTAATGCAATTACTCATTCTTCTCAAGGAGATTTAAACCATCCCACTAACCCCCTGACAAAACTTGCATCAAACTACTGATCATGAACACATAAAGGACAGAAGATAGTAAAAAAAAAAAAAAAAAAGACAGAAGATAGAACAGGCTTCAAAGATGCAAAAGAGCTTGTGAAAAATAATCAGCTGATAGTCAAGTTACATGAAATAAATGGCAGGCCATCTTTGAGGGGCATCTTATACCTGTGAGCTTTGCCCTTCAGTGAATCACTATGTTTGCTGACTGTTAAACTGCATTCTCAACCTGACCTAAAACACTTAATTGGAACACTCCTGAATGATTTCTGGATGGCTTCAGCTCAGGGACAGTAAGGTAATAAAGGCCCTTGCAGGCCCTGGTGGCCAAGTCAGAGCTTAAAATTCCCCTCTGTTGCCCTCACCTTTCTAGAAGTGCAGCCACTTCCCCAGACAGCTTCCTAATTGCTACAGGCTTCGTCCCATCCTCACTAGAGCAATGCCTGCTCAGATGAAGATGTAAGTTTTCATGCTGAGGTCTGGCATGTCTGTGAGGCCAAATCTCTGACCTGATGGTGTGAGCAGCTGCTGTTTGCAGACTGGAGATGCCGCAGAGGTGTGTGCTAAGCAGAAGAGGCAGCCAGTGGCCATGTGAAGACCCAGCCCACTACAATCTCTGTACAGCGGCAAGAGAGAAGTTACCTCCTGCAGCGCCTGGGCCAGCTGTTGCTTCAGGTCCTCTTCTCCTTGATCCTTCTCCAAACCCTGCAAAGCCAAAAACAAAATAGAAAGTTTCCCTGCAGGGAGGGGCAGAAGAGAAACAAAATCTAGCAACAGGCAGAGCAGACTGTCTTCTGTAAGCATCTAGAAACAACAGGGGGCAGGGGGCGGGTGGAAAACCTCCTGTTTTACTTTAAGTTGTTGGCAGTAAGGGATTTGAGCAGAGTGAACTACTCAGGCACTGGACACCCTGGGGCTGTCACCGTCAAGCTACCACTCAGGTTGTTCTGGAAAGAACCCTGGGCTAATACTCCAAGTCTCCTTCACTGGCTAACACCGTGACTGCCAGAGAGATGTAAACTGAGAGCTTCTAAGCCATCAAAAACCTAAACTCAGATATAACCCACTACGTTGACACTCATAATTTCCATCACATTACTTCCCTAGATTCTGGCCGCCTCATCTCTTAGTGTGATTCTCTATCACCTATTCTCCTTGCTGGAACTTACGCTCTGTTTCCTCCAACCACCCCTTTGATGTGGATGCCTTCCACATCACCACTACACTATGTCCAGCACCTTCTATAAGGCATTCTGGGCCCTTCCTCTTTAAGAATTACTTACCCATTTAATATGCTAACTGGAAATTATCCTCTAATTTAAATATATTCACTTAAAACTATTCTGATTATTTTATGTGTGTAATACATCTTGTCTTTTCAACAAGATTGATTTCTTAATAGCAAAAACCATTTATTAAGTATCTTTATAACCACCTAAACTCCCAAGTATAGTACACCAGACAACAGTAGGTACTAAAGAAAAGAAAAAAAAAAATCTGTGTGAAGAAGCAACAGTTAAATGAGCTTCTGAACAAGTAGTAGGAGTAGAATAAATCCTTAGGGCTTGGTGGCAGAGGGAAAAGCAGCTCATAAACAAAGAACTAGATACATTGAGATATGACCCTCAAATACCCCAAGAGAATTTCTGCTTTTCTTTACAATTTTGAAATAGAAAAGATTTTACAGCTATATCCTGAAGCATGCCCAAAGCAGCCACAAACTTTAATTAATAGTAACTCTTGTTCCTGGACACATTAGCCTTTAAAGAGGGTTCTGCTCTGGGGAACATGTCATACACTAAATATGTAAAGATGAACCTCCCTCTATTAGCTTCAAGAACTAGTCCAGGCTAGCAAGGGAAGCAAAACGGTATGACATAAGCAAACAGTGAATACCCTTAGAAAGACCTATTTAATCCATGGCCTTTGCTAATGCTACCAGTTCAAGGGGGTAGCAGAGATTAGAATGAAATTTATAAATTGTTCAGAAATAAGCCAACACTACTGGTTATTCCTTGCCCTGAGCAAAGTAAACAAAACAGAAAAGCTTATTCACTTCAATCCTGATTGGTCCTTTTTATTTCTAAGTCAACAATGGGGAATTCTTGACATTCAGTATTACCTGAGCAAGTAGGTAGGAGTAAAACGTGTGCTTCTTGTCAGATGGGAACTGACATTTTGAGCAGGGACCAGGATCAGCTCTAGCCTAGAAGCTTTGTGCAAGAGCTTGTCATCTAGGTAAATGACTCAGGGATGGGGACACATTTGGTCTTACCCTGACACAGCTAAGACAATCATTATTCTACCATCCCCCTCAACGCACTGGGGAAGGTGGCTTATCACTCAACTCAACAACGGAGTCACAGTATACCTTCCCCTCCCGCACTGGATGCCCAGGATAGAAACAAAAAAACATTTTCTGCCTTTCTAGACTCCTAGGTTAGCTACAGAGTTAACTATCAGAGCTAGTGGCCAGGTACAAGGGCCAGGTACAAGGGTTACCATCTGACCCATTGCTGCCTTGGGCTAAGTGGTTTGGCTTTGACACAGCAAAGAAAGGCAATTCATAAGGATCACTAGTGGTTTAACTGGAATGGACTATGATTCTGTGGCATCCTGACCTTCATCCAACCTCTCTCTGAATCTGCTTCAGTTCTCACGTGTCTCAGCTTTATATCCTGAGTTATATCCTGGCTGGCTCTAACAGTCACCTTACGCATCGTGGCACCCAAACCCTGGCTCTTGATCATCATGCTAAAGCCTTAACCCTGTACTCTATCCCCTTCTCCCACCTCAAAGTCCTTTGTCCTCATTCCATCTCCTGTCCCTAGCACTCAGCATGTGGTTTCTAACACAGAAACAGTGAGCTGTGGCCATAGGCTCACCAAGGGCCCACCACCCCTGAGGAGCATTGGTGTCCTTCTCTCATGTGTGGTACCTGGAGATGCTGCTCCTCTTCTTGGAAGGTCTTCTCTAGCTGTTCCACTCTGGCCTGCTGCTGGGCCTGCTCTGCACACAGCTGGGACTGTAAGTCCTGCAGTTCCTTCTCCATTTTCACAATTTTCTTTGAGTTCCCTTTTTGGGTCTGCTTTTTCACATTCAGGACAGCTACCTGTTTTTCCTGCATTTGTGTTTTCAGCTTCAGAATCCTGGACATAGTCACCTTGAACAGCTCTAAGCTGCTCTGAGATGCTGAAGGATTTGAGGCTTTCTGCTTCTTATGATGAAGTGCTACGAATTTTGTGGAGGAAGGGTAAACATGAGCCTCTGTGGCCTTCTCACTTGGCTCAAGAGATGTCAACTTAGGATCCAAATATTCAGAAGGCTGACTGGCCACCTCACCTTTCCCATGAGATTTCACTGGCTGACCAGGTTTGTAAGACACTTTACTTATTTTGGATTTCAAATGTGAGGGGCCTTCAGCTCCAGGACCCTCCAATTCATCCAAACTGAATTTCCTTTTAGTTCTCAAACACCTATTTTTTCCTATAATCTGATCATTCTTTGGAGCAAGACAAGGATACATCCTCTCCCAGTCTTCTTCAGTAACTTCATACTCATACTCTGCATTCTCCTTATTCTCTAGAGGTACCCCGAGCTGGATGTGGTCTCCTTTATGGATAGAATAGACCTTTAAAGGTTCTAGACGTTCTCTGTTCAGCCAAACACCATTCAGACTCTGGAGAAAGGGAAAGAAAGACAAAATAAGCTTCATGATTTTCCTCTTAACGGAATTTGTCTCCTGCTGCTGCAAAACCTTCTACCTTTTCAGACGGAAAACCCTTGAGAAAAAATAGGAAAGGTTCATAAACCATCACCCTTAGAAATATCATTCTTCAAAGAGCGCTGGCTTTTTACCTACATTTCACATTCATGCCTCTACAGAAAACTGCTGGTAAAACAGGCAGGAATCACCTTATTACTAGCAGATGAATTACTCAAATGCAGCAGCATTAAAAGAAACTGCAATTGAATAGCTCCTATTGACCTAAACTGGGGGCAATGGCCCAAGACTGGAAAAACGGCTATTAGCGAAGGAAGCAGCATCTAATAATGAGGTTCAAAAGATAGGCTTAGCTAGGAAAGTCACACAAGCACTGTCTCTGAATGTGGCTCCTGAACACACTGGTAAGTGAGCAAAGCACTTCTCAGTACACATAAACCTAAAAAGAGTGTATCAGTACCTCATACTGGGGTCAAACTGCAGGTAGGATCTAACCCAATTAATAGCACCAGAGGTCCACTGGGGAACACAGCCTCATGGTTAAGACCTGGAGCTCTGGCTCAGACAGACTTGAGTTCATAGCCCAAATGCACCACCTTGGGTTCATTAGTTGCCTGGCCTTCAGCAATTTACTTAAACTCCGTGTCTCAGTTGTGTCTGCAAAATAGGGATAGTACAGTTCCCAACTCATACTGCTCTGTGAGGAATGAATGAAATAATACATGTAAAACACTAAGCACAGTGACTCACATATAATAAATGCTTGAAAAATATTTACTTTAGTGATTTAAATTAACCACAGTGTAGGGGTTAAGAGCATGGATGCTGGAGTCACATTGCCTAGACTTGTAATCTGGCTTCATCATATAATAACTGTGTGACTCTGGGTAACTTTCTTAGCCTCTCCATGCCCCAGTTACCACATCTATAAAATGGAGGATAATAATAGTCTCTCTCTCATGGAGTTTGTGTAGATTTAATGAGATGACATATGTAATGTACTTAGAAAAGTGCCTGGCACATGGTAAGCATTATATAAGTGTTCACTACTATTATTATGTTCTGGCTCAATCGACTTATCAACAGTCATTTCAATTCTATGCTCAGCATCTTGCAAGGTAAATACACTGGGCACAAAAGTAGAAGATATGAAAACAACTTTTAGCAGTTGACTATGGAAAGGAAAACACAAGGGCACACATAAGTAAATGTGGGATAACACAGCACAACCTATAAATGTAAAGGACTATCATGAAGAGCTGGCTAGAGATCTCAAGAGATGCTAAATGGAGATGGCAGGTTCTAAAACAGATGTGAAACAAATGCAGGATTTAAAGAGACAAGTGTGGGGGAGGGGAGGACACGCCTGGCTGGCACAGTCAGAAAAGCATGCGACTAATGATTTTGGGGTCATGGGTTTGAGCCCCACGATGGGTGTAGAGATGACTTAAATAAACTCAGAAGGGAGGGAGGGAGGAAAAAGAAAAAAGGAGAAAAGAAGACAAGTGGACATTTTAACTCATATTAAGAACTTATCTTTGGGAGACAGGCCAGAGATGAAGGTCACAACAACTGAATTGGGACTAAGACTACATTAAAGTTAGTAATTACAGCTACTTCCTTACAGCTAGAAAAGATATCTGGTCAACCTAAATATGGGGGATGGAGGCTTGACCACAAGGCACGGAGTATAAAGACTATAGAGACTGGATCTCAGCTCTAGACCCTTGTTTCTTCTTTTATATTACCTGGTTGTGAGAGGGGAAAGGGAGAGAAAAATGAACATAGATACATAAAGATTGGCTTTAACTCACTGCTTTGGGCCTAACCTGGCTTATCTGGCCAACCTTCTCCCAATTTTCCTATTCATATTCAGCATGAGAAATAACAAGAGTGATCAGTTCTGCTGACTTCTGAAACAACACTAGCAGAAATAAAAAGGCCAAAAGATTCTCTTTGAGAACAGTTCTATGGCAGATTATAGATTAGACACAGGAAAAAGGTCTCAGGGAAAGTAATATAACACAGGAGGTCACCTATTGCCATGGCATAGATATTTAAGAAAAATCTCAAAGACAAAGTTAAATAAGAAGGTTACAGAAGCAGTCCAAGTCTAGAGCAAACAAGGAACTCCTAAAAAGCTGGGGTAAACTTTCAAGAGATACTACAAACCCTCCACTTGGTCTTCTACAGTAACCTGCCTCTTTCAGAGCCCTTTAGATCCAGAAAATAAACTTCAAAATTTTCCCATCCCATTTTACCCTTGGATCCCTCTGATTATCCATTCATCACTCCTTGGTGACATCTAGTGGTATACTTTGCCCTGAATCAGGTCTGTTCACAAGGTGCCTGTAGAAAAGGCTGGATATACCATGACTGTATAAGTACAATCCAGTACTGCCCAGGATATGATCTAAAATGAAACGGTTTAGGGCAGCCCGGGTGGCTCAGCGGTTTAGTGCTGCCTTTGGCCCCGGCTGTGATCCTGGAGACCCGAGATCGAGTCCCACAACGGGCTCTCTGCATGGAGCCTGCTTCTCCCTCTGCCTCTCTCTGTGTCTCTCATGAATAAATAAATAAAATCTTTTTAAAAAATAATAAAATGAAATGGTTTAAATAAATCAAACTGTGTTCAAGCCTTTCTTGATGTTGGTTTTGACAATCCCCACTGAGAGCAGCAGCAAAGTGATAACCAAAGAAAAGCCTGCCCAGTGACTCTTAGCCATCAATGGGGGGAAAAGATAGGAGAGGGACGCCTGGGTGGGTCAGCGGTTGAGGGTCTGCCTTTGGCTCAGGGCCTGATCCTGAATTCCCAGGATTGAGTCCTTGCATGGAGCCTGCTTCTCCTCCATCTGCCTGTGTCTCTGCCTATGTCTCTCATGAATAAATAAATAAATTAAAAGGATAACTTGCACCCACTTAAACACCAATTACTTTACTTGATGGTCAATCTCTTTCCAGCATTTTTAATCAGTTGTTGAGGCCAATGGAAACGCAAAGCCAATAGGCAATGTTTTCTTGCTCTTCACCAAATGATTTATGTAGCCCAGTGGTTCTCAATCTTGATTATACAGTGAAATCACGTGGTTATGTTTATAAAAGAAACACTGGCTGGATTTATTGGTCTGAGATGGGGACTAGGATTTTTAAAGTCAGGTTTATATAAGTGTGTAATTTGTACCAAGACACAGTGCCCCTTTACAGTCAACCCTTCCTTTATTCCCAGGCAACTACTCATTCTCTGCTCTACTCAGGTTTGCCTTTTCCAAAATGTTGTATAAATGGAATCACACAGAGGATGCCTGGGTGGCTCAGTTGTTGAGCGTCTGCCTTTGGCTCAGGGCATGATTCCAATCTGGAGATGGAGTCCTGCTCCCTGTGAGGAGTCTGCTTCTCCCTCTGCCTATGTCTCTACCTCTCTCTGTGTCTCACGAATAAATAAATAAAATTCTTTAAATAAATAAATGGAATCTCACGAATACACCCGTTTGAGCCTGGCTTCCTTCACTTAGCATAATAACTTTAAGATTTATCCACTTTGTTGCGTTAACAATAGTTTGGGGGCAGCCCGGGTGGCTCAGGGGTTTAGCGCCGCCTTCAGTCCAGGGCGTGATCCTGGAGACCCGGGATCGAGTCCCACATTGGGCTCCCTGGATGGAGCTGCTTCTCCCTGTGCCTGTGTCTCTGCCTCTCTCTCTGTGACTCTCATGAGTAAATAAACAAAACCTTTAAAAAACAAAAAAAAAACACAACAGTTTGGTATTTTTATTGCTAAATAGCATTCCGGGATACAGACATATCAGTTTGTTTATCCATTCCCTAGTTTATTTTTTTAGTTTCTGGTGATTATGAGTAAAGCCACCAGAAACATTCACATATAGGGTTCTGTGAGATAAGTTTTCATTAATCTGGGGAACAGGGACAGGAATGCTAGGCAGTATATGTTTAACTGTAAGAAACAGCCAGACTGGAAAAAAAAAAAAAAAGAAGAAACGGAAGAGTTTGCTTCTACTCTCTGCTCTCTGCCATGTGAAAATGAAACAAGAAGACAGCCATCTTTGGGGCCCCTGGGTGGCACAGTCGGCTAAGCATCTGATTCTTGATTTTGGCTCAGATCATAACCTCAGGGTTTTGAGACTGAGCCCCTGTTGGGCTCCATGTTGGGTGTGAACCCTGCTGAAGATTCTCTCTCTCCCTCTCCAGCTCCCTTCGAGAAAAAAAAAAAAAAAAAAAGACAGCCATCTTCAAACCAAGAATAAGTTCTCATCAGAAACCAAACCTGGGGATCCCTAGGTGGCGCAGTGGTTTAGCGCCTGCCTTTGGCCCAGGGCACGATCCTGGAGACCCGGGATCGAATCCCACGTCGGGCTCCCGGTGCGTGGAGCCTGCTTCTCCCTCTATGTCTCTGCCTCTCTCTCTGTGTAACTATCATAAATAAATAAATTAAAAAAAAAAAAAAAAAAGAAAAGAAACCAAACCTGGCTGATCACTGATTTTGATGCCTGCCAACCTCCTGAACTATAAGAAATAAATGTTTCTTCTCAAAAAACAACAACAAAAAAAACCCTGCCAAACTGTTTTTCAAAGTGGTGGTATCATTGTGTATTCTCATCTGCAGTGGTTAAGGGTTCCAGCTACTCTGCATGCTCAGCAGCACTTGGTATTAGAAATTCTTTATTATATAATATACAAACATAAAAGCACATAAATCATAAATGTACAACTAGATGAATAATCACAAAGTGAACATCTCAGTGTAACTACCACAAGGTTAAAAAAAATTCCACATTCTCAGCATCCCAGAACACACCGCCCTCTCCCTTCCCTCTAGTCACTAAGCCCCTCCCCCTCCATAAAGGGACTACTAGTCTGGCTTAACATGACACACTAGTTTTGACAATTATATAAATGACATCATATAACAAGTATTCTTCTGTGTCTTCTTTCACACAACATTGTTTGTGAGATTTATCCATGCCGTTGGATATAGTTCATTCATATTCATTCTAGTACAGTGTTTCACTATAAGACTGTATCTAGGGCAGCCCCGGTGGCACAGCAGTTTAGCGCCGCCTGCAGCCCAGGGTGTGATCCTGGAGACCGGGGATTGAGTCCCATATCAGGCTTCTTGCATGGAGCCTGCTTCTCCCTCTGCCTGTGTTCTCTGCCCCTCTCCCTCTCTCTCTCTCTCTCTCTCTCTCTCTCTCTGTTTCTCATGAATAAATAAATAAAAAAAACTTAAAAAAAAAAAGACTGTATCTACTGTTGATGAACACTTGGGTTGTTTCCTTGGTAGTGAAAATATTGTCATGAGGTATATATATATATACACCTCGTAACTAATAAATAATGCCAAATAATTTTTCATAATGGTTGTGCCAATTTATAGTTCTATCCAAAGACTATTTGCCCCCATCCTTACTAATGCCTGGCATTGTCAATATTTAATTTTAGCCACTCTGGCAGATAGGTAGTGGTATCCCTTTGTGGTTTTAATTTGCATTTCCCTGATCACTAAAGAGGCTGAACAACTTCTCATGGATACTGAACATTTGGATATAAACTTTGAAGTGCCTGGCTCTTGCCCATTTTCAAAACTGGGTCATCTTTCTTTTTCTTATTGATTTGGAGTTCTGTACATATTCAAACATAAGTCCTTCATCGGTTATGTGTGGCAATTATCTCCACTCTGAGTTTGCCTTTCATTCTCTGAATGGTGTCTTTTGATGAATGGGGGTTAATTTTAATGTGATACCAGCAGTATTTTTTTCAAAGAACCCCAGGTAAGCACAAAAACTGGAAAAGGGGTTGAGAGTCACTGTTCTAGCTGCTGGAAGACCAGAAGCTGAACTGTCCCAAGCAACAAGGATTGTTCATAGATAGTCTGATTCATCACAGACATTAAATGCCAGAGCGTACAGAAGCATGAAGGCAGGAATCACCAGGCAGCAGACGAGTAACAACATGAGAGGAGGAGAAGAATGAGAAAGGTTCAAACAACATGCCTGAGTCTCGAGGACTTGACACAAGCAAACCCAATAAGGCATTTTAGGCTGACTCTAAAACAACCAATTTTCTGAAAGAGCTAGACATTAATACATAAGATGAGCTATCTGAAGAGCTTTTCAACTGAAATGTACACAACTACAACATTTGTGTGCAGAGTCAGCAGTCCTCCAAGGTTTTTCTTTCCTTAAGTCAATTTAAAACTAAAATTGCATTTGTTGCAATTTTTGTATCTGTACTTAACCTTTCAGTTTCTGGCCATTCCAGCACATAAGAGAGACCATTTAATGAAGAAAGAGTGTAGTTCTGAGTTTTGAATTATTAGAAATCTCTACCTCTTAAAAAGACTTGGCAAATGACTTCAAATATGACCAAAACAATAATGTCTTGCACCTGAAATTCAAATCCTTCATCGGAAGAAGAGGACTGCTCCAAGGCATCATGCTAGAAAAGAAGCCACAAAGAAAAGGAACATCTGTTAAGGGGGGGAAAAAGGCGGGAGGAGTGCTTTTACCTGTAAGAACAGTTGCTACATCAAAACATTTGAGTCACGCCTTCTCTTAAAAATCAGTTACCTCACAAATGGAATCAGAGCTAAGAGGCTTAAACCAGAAAAGACTTGGAAGAATCAAGAGCCTACCTTCCCTCTGTATTATCGGTCTGAGACCTAAGAGAGGAGTCTCGTGGTAACAACAGCCCTAGAAGAAAGGGTACACAGGTACACAGCAGACGCTGGACAGCAGCCCAGAAGTACAGTCTTGATCTGTGACTGGCACGGGCTGCCTCTGTGACCCTGAGGCTGATGTTCAGGGAACACTAAAATCCGCGGGTGGCTTCCCTACTTCTCAAAATCTGCTATCCCATAAATGGAGTACATCCAAACTGCACATAATCAAGGAGAGAAGCACCACAGAACTCACCTAATACCACAACCCCATTTCTCAGCCAACTTTGATAAGGAAAACATCTTTTTCTAAGGTGGTCTGAAATAAGCGATTGCAGGGGGCTTTAAAAGCTGGCCTCTATGACTTAAATATGCATCATTAATTTTTTTTTTAAATCATACAACCAGTACAGGTTTCCCCTGCTGTCCAAAAGTAGTGTTCCCATGAAGCCTTTCTTCATAAGCCAACGGTGTAAAAGCAAAGAAGCAATTACCATTAACTTATATGGAAATATTTTTTTATTGTTTCCATATCCAAAATATAACCTCTCTTAGGCTTTTCTGATACCTCAGAACATCGCTTGATAACAGATGCACAAAATAAATCGAGATTATTAAAGCACAGATGCTCGCAGACATAGTTCAAAACTATGGCACCTTGATGCTGAGATGTTGAGTGCAGTTCCCTGGGAAAGACCTTAGCAGGGCCACTCTCAATGCTCTGCTGCGCACTGCCTCTATAACAGCTCACTGCAAAACAAATGTTAAATGCTATTTTTGCCCTTTTGTGGTACAAGTGAAAATCCTCTTCCAATTTCTTTTCACTAGCAAATACAGGCACCAAAGTAGGTGTTTTGTAAAAGCAAAGTGTAGGATGGATAATATGAACTTTCCGAAAGCAGGGCATAAAGCAAATCAGTATACTTACTTCACTAGTGTTTGACAATAGCACATAGTAGAGACTTATTTATGTTTGAGCCCTGGCTCATTCACTTATTCAACCACTGAGTTAGAAGGCCCCGGGCAAGTCAATTTATCTCTCTGGGCCTCAGATCCATCTGTTCCCAGAAGAGGTTAAACTTGATCATCTATGAGGCTCCCTTTTCAGTGCCAATCTCTATTCTGCTCATAATACCTTGCCAAGAGTGCCAAAACAATTTACTCAGCACTTACACCTTCTCCTTCCACACAGTGCCAACTCAACTTAATCCTAATCAGGAAGGTAGTTCTCAACAGCTTAATCTAGCAGTTTATTATCTGCTGTTTTTTTTTTTTTTTTAAGATTTTACTTATTAGAGAGAGAGAGAGAGAGAGAGAGAGAGAGAGAATGGGGGGGAGAGGAAGGGCAGAGGGAGAGGGAGAAGCAGGCTCCCCACAGAGTAGGGAGCCCTGATATGAGACTTCATCCCAGGACCCTGGAATCACAACCTGAGCCAAAGGCAGATGCTTAACCAACTGAGCCACCCACGCACCCAAATCCAGCAGTTTTAAGCCTGCCTGCAGGGATACCAAGTGTAATAAGAAATACATATTGGGTCTTTATCTCTTTTTCTAGCACAGAGCTTCTAAAAACTTTTGGAATTTCCTAAGTGGTGAGACAGAAAAGTGTCTTTTGTTATGTTGATGATGCAACTCTCAGTTCACCTATGAATGGGGTCTAACTGCTAGGATAACCAACCCTGTGACTCGAGGATTGAAAACTTTCAGTCCCGGCCCTCAACCTCCTGAGAGGAGAGAAAGGCTGGACACTGAATTGATCACCAATGGTCAATGATTTCATCAATCATGCTATGTAAGAGAGCCTCCATAAAAACTCAAAAGGATGGGTTCAGAGAGCTTCTGGGTTGGTGACTGCATGCATGGAGGTGTTGAGTGGGACACCCAGACAGGATGTGAAAGCTTTGTGCTCTTTCCTGAATACCTTGCCCTACACATCTCTTCCATCTGGATGTTCATCTGTATCCTTTATCCTATCCTTTCATAATAAACCGGTACAGAAGCAAATGTTTCCCTGAGTTCTGTGAGCCAGTTTGGCTAATTAATCAAATCCAAAGGGGGGGAGGAGGTCACTAGAACCGGTTGGTTCCAGCTGGTTAGAAGTACAAGTAAACAGTTTAGACTTGTGACTAGCATCTGAAGTCCAAGGAAGGACGTGTCCTTAGAGCCTCCAATCTATAGCCGCTGGTCAGAAGAGTACGTGTTAACCTGTGGAATCTGATGCTATCAGAACTGAGGTGATAGCAGGACACTGGTGTCCCAAGCACTGCTTGGTGGTATGAGGGTAACCCCTACACACACCTCAGAACTGGTCTCAGACCATTCACTACCCTTCCTTCTAACAGATGTCTTTACAAGCCTTCCAACCAGAGCAGTGGAAGATGGTGTCTGAAGACATTTCCTACTTCCTAATGCCTTAGCTGTCAACATTGGAATTTTTCTCAGTGCACAGTCTCTATTTTCATAGTATCCCTACGTGCTTGTATATCTGTACTTTAGGTATTTCCTAATTGCTAATGTAAACACACTATTTTTCACCTCCCTTAGTATTCACACCAGACCAGTGATTTTCAAATTTGTTTAAAGTAGGAAAGTCCTTTATTCGAAGGAACTCTTCCTAACACAAATATGTAAAACGGATTAATAGGAGGGTGGGAGTCTGATGGAAAGGAATAGGGAAGGGAAGGAGCTAAGTGCAGTCAGCTCAACTCCTTCCTCCTCTGAACCACAGGTGTACTCCAGAATATTCATCAGATTCCCCAGGTCTTTGGATCTATGACTCACAAAGGCCAATTCCTCCAGTAACTTAGTCTAGTTTCTGGAGCAGGACCTACTGCCCCACTTCAGGTGTTTCTTCAAAGTAATGAACTTTCATTCAAGTTATTAGAAATCATTTTGGCATAATCTAATCTCTGGTAGCATAGAGAAATGGTTGTCTATGCAGAAGACAACTGGGTGGCTACAGGAGCGGATAACTTTCGGACCTCTCATTTTGTATTCTGTATTATGTACACAAAAAAAGTAATTTAAAACTAAACGAAAATTCAGTAAAAGTCATTAAACATCTATGGATTCCTGTACCTTGTTATCCATAATTGTCCACTGGCCCTCGACGTTCTGCTTCAAAACACAGTGGTTTCGGGAAATCATCAGAGGGCAGATTTTTGATACCAGTTGGTATGTGACACCAAATCCTCGCCCTATAGTCACCTAGGAAGACAACAATGTAAGAGACATAATCGGTCATTTTGCTGCAAAGGGAGGACCTTTACAATCTTGTCAACCAGCAATATTCACATGTCTTGACTTATGAAACCAGCCTCTTGTGAAACCCAAAGAACTTAGCAGCTATCTCCTTCAGCTATCACGAGGGCCACCAGGTAGAAAAAGGCAAGAAGTTCTGATAAGAAGAGACAGCTGAATGAAGTTAATTATGGAATGTCGGAGCTGGGAGGACCTTGAACTTTCATCGTAAGATGGAGAAATCCTTTCTACACACCCTCTTCAACTAGTCTGAAACACTACCAAGAACTACAGCCTTTATACAAGGCAGTCCTTCCAATTGTTCAATGGCCCTGACTTGGCATCTTTCTCCCTATAAATTCCATCCTTTGGCCCTGGCTCTGCCCTGAACACCATGAGAAAATCTCCAATCCCCCTTCCGCTTGACAGCTGTAAAGTGTCTACATAGTCTTCTCTTTTCGTAGCCCTATGTTTCCAGTTACTTCAAACCTACCTCCCATGGCATGGGTTTGCATCTCTTTGCTATCCTAATAGATCTATGAAGAGACTCCTGGTTTATTTTTATTCCTAGATGCCACATTAAAAAAATAATTTTTATAACACAGTCAAATGCAAGCATCACTTTCTCAGTTCTAGATATCATCACTGAAGCATATAAACTGCATTAGCTTTCATAGCAGATCTGTCATGCTGCCAATGTATCCTCAGGCTTAGGAATGATTAAATTTCTTGGTCTAACCCTCCTCCAAGAATTGCTATGCTAAGTCATGTCTCTTCTGTCCTATACTTGACTAGTTGGTAAATTTGGATTCGAGTGCAGGACCTTACATTGATTCCTGTTAAATTTCATCTTGTTAGTTCAGCCTATCACATGAACTTGTCAAGACCTTTCTGAATTTTTAATCTGCCATCAGACATACTCAATATCCCTTCCAGCTTTGACTCATCCACCAAATTGATATGAAGCCTTATGTACATTCATTTAAGACACAGATAAAAAGATTGAAACAGGATGTAGCCAAAGGCAAAACTCCCAGGAAAGCCTAGTAAACATTATACCACATAATCTGGGTACACCTTTAACCAGTTGTAATTCAATCAAAAGCCTTTGCACTGAGTCCATATTTTCTATCTTATCCTTGAATACAGCATGAGATCCTCTGGAAAAGGTTGCAAAAGAAGTCTCAATTCTTTTTTTCTTTTTTATTTTATTTTATTTATTTATTCATGAGAGACACACACACACACAGAGAGAGGCAGAGACACGGGCATTGGGAGAAGCAGGCTCCATGCAGGGAGCCAGACGTGGGACTGGATCCCAGGTCTCCAGGATCACACCCTGGGCTGAAGGCGGCGCTAAACTGCTGAGCCACCCGGGCTGCCCAAGAAGCCTCACTTCTCACCTACCATACATTTCTGATGGACCAGTCGAGTTTATGATAACCCTGTCAAGGGAGAAAATGAAATTCTCCTGAAATCCAGATCTTAGAATGTCCTGTTTATTCTTCTTGGCCTACAAGCCACCTCTATAATGACTTGATACCAGTTGGTATGTGACACCAAATCCTATAGCACAACAACCTTAGCTGGGAACATTAAGCCAAATGGTCTGTGGTTTTCGAAAAGCTACCCATTTTGTTCCTTTTGAAAGTCTTTCAGAATCATGCCTGTCTTCCTCAGTCCCTCAAAGACCCCCATGACACTCCTTGTCCCTCCAATCTGTTCTTCCCCTATAACTCTCATCTCAGTAACTGACACTACCATCCAATCAACTGCTTAGCCCCAAACTGGAAGCCATCTTTGATTCTTCTCATATTCAAATCAGCAGTAAATTCTACTGGTTGTAATTCAAATATATTCTAAATCTGTTCAATTCTCTCTATCTCTATGGCCAATACCTTAGTCCAAACAACGTGATCTCCAGCTGTTTTTGCTCCTGCCCTGTACTCCCTCACTCAGACCAACTTCATTCTTCACACAGCAGTTGGAGTGGTAACATAAAAACTTTAATAAATCAGACCATTTCCCTTCTTTCCAAACTACATTAACAATCCACTCTTCCTTCCATAGCCTACAAGGCCTGAATGTCCTAACCCCCTCCAATTCTTTAGTCTTATACCACAGTCAGAAACATCACTACCGGAGGGCCTTTTCTCCAGTCCCTTCTACTTAGAAGTCTTCTCTGAGACATCTGCCTGGGCTCCTTCTCATCTTTCAAATTTCAGCTCCTCAAAGGTCTGCCCTGATTACCCTAAAGTTGTTGCTTGCTCCCTCCCCTACCATTGTATTCCTTAATGTTGTTAGCATGCATTTGTCACAATCCAAAATCATTGTTTGCTTTACCTATTCCCCACCCCTTACTAGAATATAAATTTCATAAACAGGGATTTGTCTATCTTGTGTACCATTGTATCTCTGTACAGATGACAGAGCTTAGTAACTGTGAGTGAATGGAAGAATAGAGCTTATGAGTCCTCCCAGATTCTAGGATGAGCATTTTTTTAGGTCAGAAGTTGGAAACTGGGTTATTACCACTAGAAACTACAGAGCAGCAGCCAGGAACTTACAATCTGACTTAATTTCTTCAGTTTTTTGAACAGCTAGCCAGAAATTCCACTTACTATCCAAGTTCCTCTGAATTTTCATATATATATATATTCTTTATATATACATATATCCTTTAAAAATGGAATGTTTAGGGGCATCTGGCTGGCTGGGCCCTAGGGCATGTGCCTCTTGATCTCAGGGTTGCCTCTTGATCACAGGGTCATGAGTTCAAGCCCCATGTTGGGCGTGCAGCCTACTTAAAATAATTAATTAATTTAAAAAATTTTAAAGATGGAACGTTTAAGGATTTATCTGTCATTCTGGAGGAGTAAGAATTTTCATGTAGGCAGCTTTCTTTTTTTTTTAATATTTTTATTTGAAAGAGAGCTAAGCAGGGAGCCTGATGTGGGGCTCGATCTCACAACCCTGAGATCATGATCTGAGCTGAAATCAAGTCAGCTGCTTAAACAACCGAGCCACCCAGGCACCCTGGTGCTTTATTTCTAATAAAGGAAGTATTCCATATCCATTTTAATACTTGAGAGGAGACAGTATTGCCATTGTGAGCTGTCTGGATAAAGTATTACAGAAAAGGAAGAGGAGTGCCTTTTTCTGAAATAGCCTCCTACAGAATCTGAATCCAGGGAAGTAAGGAACGACTCTTTTTCACCCTTCCCTTTACTGTCTGGTCCTATAATTTACCTAGGTACAGCAAAGAGTCTGTGGTGATCTTATCTGGATATCCCAGCATCGTTTGCACATAAAAGTAAATTTCCCTGTGAGAACTGAGTGCCAACAAATAAATCATCAATGCAAAACTTGAGGGTTGTTTCAATTTACAACAGTTTTGCAAGCCATTGTCCTTACCCACCTTCACATTCCAAAAGAACAGTAACATTTGACTAAGTGTTTTGTAAGACTGTGTTTGAGTGTGGAACATTTGCAGGGCTCAAATTAAGAAATACATGTAAAAGCCCAAGCCCGAAACAAAGTAAAGTACAGCTACTAATATTCAGATGTTAATATCTTCATTTGTTGGGGATCCTTGGGTGGCTCAGCGATTTAGCACCTGCCTTTGGCCTGGGCGTGATCCTGGAGTCCCGGGATCGAGTCCCATATCAGGCTCCCGGCATGGAGCTTGCTTCTCCCTCCTCCTGTGTCTCTGCCTCTCTCTCTTTCTCTATCATAAATAAATAAAGAAATCTTAAAAAAAAAAAAAAAAGTAAAAAAAAAAAATCTTCATTTGTTAAACTTCTCAAAGGTAAATGCTTCTGGAAAAAGCCAGGAAGGGAAAGGTCAGTGCTCAAACTAAAATAATGTGTGCCTAGGGGTGCCTGCGTGGCTCAGGAGGTAAAGCATCCAACTCAGTTTTGGCTCAGGTCATGATCTTGAGGTGGTGAAATGGAGCCCAAGTCCAGCTCTGTGCTCAGCGGAGAATCTGCTTCAGATTCTTTCTCTCTTGGGACACCTGGATGGCTCTGTGGTTGAGTGTCTGCTTTTGGCTCATGGCGTGGTCCCGGAGTAGCGGGATCAAGTCCCATGTCAGAATCCCTGCATGGAGCCTGCTTCTGTCTCTGCCTGTGTGTGTCTCTGCCTCTTTCTCTCTTTCTCTGTCTCTCATGAATAAATAAATAAATAAATCTTTAAAAAAAAAAAAGGGGGGGGACCCCTGGATGGCTCAGCGGTTTGGTGCCTGCCTTTGGCCCAGGGTGCGGTCCTGGAGTCCCGGGATCGAGTCCCACGTCAGGCTCCCGGCATGAAGCCTGCTTCTCCCTCTGCCTGTGTCTCTGCCTCTCTCTCTCTCTCTTTCTCTCTCTCTGTCATGAATAAATAAATAAAATCTTAAAAAAAGATTCTCTGTGCACGGGTGCATGTGTGCACGCTCTCTCTCATACATAAATAAACAAATAAATAAAATCTTTTTGAAAAAATGAATGTGTGCCTAACATGGACTTTTAGGCACTGATACCTGAAGAGAAAAAGAGATTGGGGCAGAGGGGTCCTCTTGGTGTTCTTCAAATCACAGCACACAAGTAACCCTTTAAAACCTCCTGATCAGGGTGGCCCCGGTGGCTCAGTGGTTTAGCCTTGCCTTTGTCCCAGGATGTGATCCTGAAGACCCCGGATCGAGTCCCACATCGGGCTCCCTGCATGGAGCCTGCTTCTCCCTCTACCTGTGTCTCTGCCTCTCTCTCTGTCTCTCTCATGAATAAATAAATAAAATCTTTTTAAAAAAATAAATAAAACCTCCTGATCAAAAAAAAAATAGGTAAATAAAATAAAAATAAAACCTCCTGATCTAGCAAGTTAAGGCTGGACCTGAATCTCCTGACTGGAGGAACCATTGTTCTAGGATAGTACTAAATAATCTAGATCTTGGCATTTGATTGTACAGCCTGCATAGCTGTTCTCAGATACTTCACTGTATAAAAGTGTCTTTCTCCATTCAAGCAATAAATTCTTTGAGGGCAAAGTTGCTATTATTTATCCCTCTCATAACACAGGAAAAAAACCATAAATAATAAATATTTGGGAGACTGAATTGAGACTATGTAGCTTGCAGAAACAATCTAGCTAAATGTACACAATGATCAAGACTTATCTTTCCTACAAATTATTTCCAACACCCAATGGTTCCCAGTCACCACCACAAGCTGGTCCCTGATCCAGCTCTCCTTTCCAAGCTGATTGCACTCTAACTCTCTCTGCCTCCTTTTCTAGCACCCTCTCTAAACCACCACCCCAACTGCCCTCAACTGGAGCCGTGCTTCACCTTCTCTCCTTTCTTTTTTGCATTCATGACTGCATTAGAAAACACTACAGGGGACGGAGTGGCCAATGGCCTGCAGAGCAACATGCCCAAGTTTTATTGTGACTACTGCGACACATACCTCACCCATGACTCTCCATCTGTGAGAAAGACATACTGCAGTGGTAGGAAACACAAAGAGAATGTGAAAGACTACTATCAGAAATGGATGAAGAGCAGGCTGAGAGCCTCATCAACAAAACAACCCAGCATTTCGACAAGGAAAAGTACCTCCTACTCCATTCTCTGCTCCTCCTCCTGCAGGGGCAATGATCCCACCTCCCCCCAGTCTCCTGGGGCCTCCTCACCCTGGTATGATGCCAGCCCCCCATATGAGGGGCCCTCCCATGATGCCAATGATGGGCCCTCCTCCTCCTGGGATGATGCCAGTGGGACCTGCTCCTGGAATGAGGCCACCTATGGGAGGCCACATGCCAGTGATGCCTGGGCCCCCAATGATGAGACCTCCTGCCCGTCCCATGATGGTGCCCACTCCCCCAGGAATGACTCGACCAGACAGATAAGGAGAGACAGAAACCTCTTTATATTAATTTTATATTACTTGTTCTACTTCACCAGGAGATCATGGTGCTGTGACTCTGGGTGTTTCCTAATAGCATGACAAGGAAGACTTGCTTCCCCTTCCTATCAAAGAGAGAATAGTTTTTGCAGGGGAGTAGTGGGACACCCCCCCCCCCAAAAAAGGGCAATTTTCATTTGTATTGTGAAATGTGAAAATAAAATTATCAACTGTTTTAGTTAAAAAAAAAAAAAAGGCTCACAGGATAAAATGTGGATCCTCCTAGAGCGTCGATTTCCCCCAAGGGTTGGAAAGGAAGACAGTTTTACATTACAGTGCGCGCATCTGAAGGGACATGACCCAAACTCAGTGTTTTTCAAACTAAACTCGAGAAAGTTCATGCTTTCCCGCTGCCCCCACCCGGCTGTGGGTCACTCGCGGTAGAGGTGGGCTGGGCCCCTCAGGGCTCGGCGCGACCCAGCCCCGCGCCGCCCCAGGCCCCTCCCAAGCCGGCTGGTCCGCTCAGCCCCCACGCCCGCGGGTCGCCCAGCCCCTCCCTCCAGCGCCTCCCGAACCCGGTCTCCCGCCCAAGGTCGCCCCGCAGGCGCAGGCCGCTCCCAAAGGGGCCATCTTTCCTCCCGAGCGGTCCCCACGTCGACCCCAAACACCTCGCACCTCGACCCCCGACCCTCCTTCACTTGTCTCCGCTCCGGCCCGCCCCCACCTCCCCTGCTCCATTCATCCCTCCCGCCCGGACGCGCCGGCCCCGCTGCCTCCAACCCGGTCCCCCGCCCCAGGGCCCCTCCCCCTCACCTCGTTTCCGTCCTCCAGCAGCAGCCACTCGGCGTTCATCCTGGCCCGCCGCAAGCACCACCTCCGGCCACCGGGGCGGTCTCCCGTGGCCAACGAGCCGGGCTCCTCCATAGCCCCGTGTGCCCCACGTCGCGGTCAGCACAGAGCGAGACCCCCGCCCGGGTTCCCGCCGCCTCTCAGCCTCGTCGCCGGCGCCATAACTAAACAACAGACAGAAGCAATCGCTACGCGCTCGCGATCGATGCGAACTCTCGCTCGGGCTGCGCGCCCCGCCCTCTCGGCCGCAAACCGGAGTCACCGCGCCTGCGCCGGAGCGAAGCCGCGTAGACCGGCGCGCGGGTGTGCCGCGCTTCCGCTCCAGGTGGGACGGGGTCGCCCCGCAAGCCGCCCCTAGGTGGAGCTGCTTCTCACCTTACCCACGTCCCTTTTAATTTTTGATTTTGCTTTATGGTGAGTTCCACGTTACCTCAAACTGTAACCAACTTTTTTTTTTATGAATTAATTTTTATTGGTGTTCAATTTGCCAACATACAGAATAACACCCAGTGCTCATCCCGTCAAGTGCCCCCCTCAGTGCCCATCACCCAGTCACCCCCACCCCCCGCCCTCCTCCCCTTCCACCACCCCTAGTTCATTTCCCAGAGTTAGGAGTCTTCATGTTCTGTCTCCCTTTCTGATATTTCCCACACATTTCTTCTCCCTTCCCTTATATTCCCTTTCACTATTATTCATATTCCCCAAATGAATGAGAACATACACTGTTTGTCCTTCTCCGGTGTAACCAACTTTTAAACGACTTTAAACTTGTGACGATTTTATTTATGTATTTATTCATTCATTCATTCATTCATTTTTAAGATTTTACTTATTTATTCGTGAGAGACACACACAGAGAGACACACAGAGAGGCAGGGACACAGGCAGAGGGAGAAGCAGGCTCCGTGCAGGGAGCCCGACGTGGGACTCGATTCCAGATCCTGGAATCACGCCCTGAGCCAAAGGCGGATGCTCAACCACTGAGCCACCCAGGTGTCCCAAACTTGTGATAATTTTAAAATAAGTCTGATGGCACCTGGCTGGCTCAGTCAGTAGGGTATGAGACTCTTGATCTCGGGCTGTGAGTTCAAGCCCCACCTTGGGTGTAGAGCTTACTTAAAAAGAGCACAAAATGTTTTGAATCTGTTCCTAAACAGCATCTGTTTTGCATGACCTCTTTTTACTACTGAAGTTTTCAAGACTTAACAGTAGAATCTGTGGAGGTGGAAATCAGTTGCCTGGGGCTAGGCGTGGGGGCCAGGACTAAAGGAAAAGGGACATGAGAGAATTTGGGAAGGTGATAGATATGTTCCAAAACTGGATTGTGGTGATGATTGCACAATTGCAGACGTTTACTGAAAAGTCACTGAAGCATTACATACACTTTCATTGGACAAATGTTATGATACGTAAATTATCCTCAATAAAGCTATTAAAAGCACCACCACCACCACCTGAACTTCTTTTCTTTGATCCTCCACTATAGTGTGGTAGCTGCTCCCTGTAGTGTGTACCTCTGTGATAACACCTCCTCTTGTCTTTTCCATTTCCCGATACTTGGTTAACAATTTTCCTATATTCTGTCAAGGGAAAACACATATACTAAATGAATCATACAAAGCACAACAGTAAAGGGCTAACATTTATTGAGAACTAAGGGCCAAGTACTAGGCCAAGCACCCTACATACTTTACTTATATGCTCCTCACAAACACTATGATGATGGTGGTTACAATTATAATTCTTATTTTAAGTTTGATGAGAAAAGAGGCACAGAGAGGTTTAGCAATCTTCTCGAAGTAACAAGTTAAATGGTAGAGTAGAATGCCAATTCAGTTCTGTTTCCGGAACCTAATTTCCTAATCATGTTTGCAACCCCAGCCTGGAGCTTTATCTGTGTGGCACGGTCATATCAAAAATTTCAGCCTGAGGGGTACCTGGGTAGCTCAGTGGGTCAAGCTTGGTTTTGGCTCAGGTCAAGATCTTAGGGTCTCGGGGATCCCTGGGTGGCGCAGCGGTTTGGCGCCTGCCTTTGGCCCAGGGCGTGATCCTGGAGACCCGAGATCGAGTCCCACGTCGGGCTCCCGGTGCATGGAGCCTGCTTCTCCCTCTGCCTGTGTCTCTGCCTCTCTCTCTCTCTCGCTCTCTCTCTCTCTCTGTGACTATCATAAATAAATAAAAATTTAAAAAAAAATTAAAAAAAAAAAAAGATCTTAGGGTCTCTGTGCTGGCTCCAAGCCCAGCATGGAGTTTGCTTCTCCCTCTCCCTCCCCCTCTGCACCTCCTCCCTGCCCATCCCCCAATCAATCAATCTTTTTTAAAAAAAGAATTTCAGCCTATAATATCACAGACAGGAAAATTGGTGGGAGCCACAACTGTACTCATGCAGATGCTTTCCTAGTCTTTGGATTACATGTCTGTTGGTGCCTCCAATCCCACCTTAGCATTCTGTCCCAGGAATAGCAAGTGCATCTAGAGGCCATCCTGACATTTAGTTGGCACGTCCCCTTAGGCTCTTCTTGGCTGTGACTTACCTTGTTTTTCATGACCTTGACAGTTTTGAGGAGTATTGGCCAGGTATTTTGTGGAATATCCCCAAATTGAGATTTGTCTAATGTTTTTCTCATGCTTAGACTGGGGTTATAGGTTTTAAGGAGGAAGACCATGGAGATAAAATGTCATTCTCATCATATCATACTGAAGGTATATACTCTTAACATGAATTATCACTATTGATGTTAACCTTGATCATCTGGCTGAGGCAGTGCTTGTCACGTTTCTCTTCTATAAAGTTTTTCTCCCCTTTTGTATACTGTGCTTTTTTGAAGGAAGTCACCATGCACAGCCTACACTTAAGGAGTAGGGAGTTATGCTCCACTTTCTTAAGAGCAGGGTATCTACATAAATTGCTTATAATTCTTCTGCATGGGAGGGGCACCTGGGTGGCTCAGTCAGTTAAAGCCTCTGTCTCACTCTTGGTTTCAGCTCAGGTCATGATCTCAGCATTGAGATTGAGCCCTATATCAAGCCCCACATCAGTCTCTGTGCTCAGAGGGCAATCTGCTTCCCCTTTCCTTTTGCCCCTCCCCTGGCTCATGCACTCTCTCCTTTTCTCTCTCTCTAAAATAAAGAAATCTTTAAAAAAAATAATTCTTCTGCATGAAGAAGAAGGGAATTTGTCTCTTCTCCCCCATTTACTTTTTGAATTGTTTATTCATATTGGTATGGACTCATGGATACTTATTTTATACTTTCCTTTATAATCCAATACCACTTTATTTTGTTGCTAAAATTGTTCCTACTTTGGCTACATTGTCCCTTTGACATACTTCCATCATTGTGCTTTATAGAGCATATCCTTACTTTCTGGCCCAAGATGCCCTAGATCTAGCGTCAGCCATTTCTCCAAGGAGCCCTGCTTCCTTTTACTGGGAAATGGTATTAGAAACCAAGATCTAGACACTAAGTGTGTTTGTTGCCAACTGGAATCTTATTGCTTCTAGGTTCTCTCCACTGACAGGGAAGTAAATATTTCAATGAATACTACTCCTCTATATCCACATATCTGTGAATGTTAATAGTGTATGTGTGCATTTATATGTAACACATATATCTCCATTGGTAAGCTGAATGTGTGCATACTAAAGTCTTATAACTCTAATGTGTTACCACCTGGCACCTGGATCATTCTAGCCATCCCCCACTCTTGCTTATTTGTAACCTTCCACTCTAAAAACTGAAAAGCCTGGATCCCACCATATGCCATCCATCTATTTAATCGTCATTTCCAGTACACATACAGTGTTTTCAGAATTGTTAACCCATATACCCATGGGAAACACTTTTTCAACTAGAGTACACTACTTATGCACAAGTCTCTGACTTTGAGTCTTACAGACTTTACTCATTTCCAAAGTTACTTAGGTCAGCACCCTTTTCCCTACCCCCTTCAAAGAGGTTATTTCATAGATTCTTTTGTCCCAGTCTGCATTCTATCTAGGATGCCCTGACCTCCTACAATGATCTTTTACAATTCATATACATTAAGGCTCACTTTGTAATGTGAAGTTCCATGAGTTCTGGCATGTGCATAGTATTATAGTATCATACAGTATAGTTTCATTGCCCTAAAGTCTTTTGTGCTTCATCTACTTGACCCTCTCCCACCCCCCTACCTTGTTTTATTTAACAACATATCCTGGAGATCACTCCATAGCAATATAGATCTATATATTACACCTTCCTCTTTACAGCTGTGTATTACTCCACTGTGCAGATATACCATTGTTTCTTCAACCAATCATTGAATGATATACAGTTTGGCTCTGTCCAGTGTTTCATTATCACAAATGGCCCTACGATGAGGTAGTAAGTACCATTTATGAATACTTATTATATGCTTTTCAAATATTATCTTACTTAATCCTCACTACCATTCTGCAAGATATCCCTACTTACCTATGAGGAACCTGAGACTACTGGGTTGCCCAAGGTCTCCTCGCCATGAGCTTCTTGAGAGTTATGTCTTATTTTCAATTGTATTCCTGACATTTTTATTGACTTAATAAATGTAACTCAACTAGTAAACGGCAGTACTGGGAACTGATGACAGGGCTGTGAGCTCGGACCTATGAAGCCCTCAAGACTGCACTCATACCAGCCCAGCAGTGGTCTCTAAGGTGGAATGGCCATACTCCAGGGAGTACACAAATGACCTATTTGCTTGAGGGAAGAATATATTAGGATAGCTAGTTATGTTTTTATCCTATCCTTTTTTAAAAAGTCCACTTTTATGGATATTTTATACTTACATAAAAGGAGGATATATATAGATATGAATAAATAAATATGATTATATTGGGCTGTACCCTCAGCCCTTCTTTTGTTGCAAAGAGTGCAAGAGCAAAAGAGTTTGGAGATACTGCCTTCTAATATTTGGGAATTTTTTTTAACTCCACCTCCCCTGCTTACTCCCTTAATATAGTGAATCTCAACCAGGAGCAATTTTGCCCCCTCCTCCCCAGGACATTTACCAATACCTGGGAGCATTTTTTATTGTTATGGCAGGGACAGGGGTACTACTGGCATCTAGTGAGAAGAAGCCAGGGATGCTGCAAAACATCCTATAAATCACAGGACAACCTCACAACAAGCATTATCCAGTCCAAAATGACAACAGTGGTAAGGTTGGGA